CCCACACCCACACCTACACCCACCTACACCCACACCCTCAATAGCATAACTATATACCTCTAGCAGAAGACCCCTTCACTAAAAAGCTCATTAACCACCACTATATCTACTATCTCCTACAAGTCACCACAAAAATCACCACGACACACTACACAGTTGATCAGAAAAAATACGTCCATTTCATGCACCAAATCAACAACTTTTCTAGATTTTCCTCAATCCTAATCCCAACACAAGCAGAAAAATACGCTTCCACCTTAACCACGACTGTATTACTTGTCTTTTACTTCCAATTCGTTTATATCACGCACATTGTATTATATACTTACACTACAATAATAATAATATCAAAAAGATTATATTCATAATGGTTCTGATGATGGCTTGATAAAGACCGAAAATTTAACCGTAATAATAACAATTGAATAAAAAAAGAAGAAAGAAAAATTAAAAAATTAAAAATATTATAAAAGATTTTAATTCTCTAAAATGAATCAATTATTGATTTATTAGCACTTGGAAATATACTGTTGTTTCATTCGAAAATTCTATTATAATAAATTAAATCCATCTGTTTATATATTATTGTATGTTACAAGTGTATTTCACGATGGTATCATTACCAAAAAACATACTTTGGGAAGAATCCAGTTGGGATCTTATTAAGCCACAATTTTTTATCCTATATTACCGATATCTTTTTGCGGTGGAAAGTTCAAAACAGGCGATAGCCCTTTTAGCTCAGAGAAGTTTGATATCAGTTGAAGCAATGACCTTACAGACATTTGATGCATGGTTCAACTTGCTTATAAATGGGATAGGTAAGAATTTTGTAGTCTCACTAAAAAATGCTTTTAAATGGGTTTCTGATATACTTCAAGCAAATCAATTTCATAACCAATATATGACAAGCTGGAAAACAGAATTTTCGAGTTTAGATAAAGACTATATTCTTCGTAACAATCCAATTTTGTTGGACAATAGTATTTATTTTTGCCCAAGTGGTGAGTCGAATTGTACAAAGATACTCATTTATTACGATTCGATTGGTAATCCAAATGTATTTCCAGGTAAATTCTTCGCTCAAACTTTCTCACATACTTTTATCATTGTACATTAACTTATTGAAATTTGCAAAAAGGTCCATAATTAAAAGATGATAATTGAAAAAATATAATCATTATCATTGATATTTCATTTATTTAGGCATTGTCATTGGATGTTCAATCATGAATGGTCTTTCACAGTCGACATTTGAATGATTCTATGATGATGTTTGCGGCGATCAACTAAATAGAGCTTTTGGTAGTTCATTCACTAAATTTAATCTTAGTGCAACGCAGTTTTCATCAACGACTCCAATTGAATTGATTCTGGATGAATATCACCTAATATCGAACAATCTTTCAGCTAATTATTCTGCATATTTTCGAGCATGTGCTCTGTCAATATGTCAATATCATCGTACCGAACAACATAACGTTGTTTACATGTTCACAACACCGCTTGGATTGTATGAAGGATTAACGACGAGCCTATACATTTACGTATGGCACTTATTACGTCTTTGCCGAATCAT